TAAATTCCTGAACTTTAAAATGAGTGAATTGTTTTTATTACTTCTTGAATGGTCCACTTTCTAATTATTTTATTTAACTATATTCGTTAGTTAGTTCTGTTACGATAGCCGAACCACACGTAATGGAAAGACATTTCTTTAGACTATTTTAGTGTGTTACATGTTATTATCGGTGCACCCTCAAAATATCCCATGCATCAAAATATCCCTCGTTCAAAATATCCCCTGCTCAAAATATCCCCGTTACAAATATCCCCGTTACAATTATCCTACGTTGAAAATATCCCCGTTACAAATATCCTATATTCAAAATATCTCCAGTAATATTGTCCCTTATTAATTTATAACAATATACATAAAAAAGATTTTTAAACTTTAAACTTTTCTAACTTCTCATCAATTAGGTTATAGTTATACTAACATACATATTATTTGTAAATCATAGTATAATATATTATAATATATATAAGTAGAATTCAATATAATAGTCATTTATGATTATCTCATTTTCGATATCTTTATATTAAGCCGCGTAATCAAATACTATTAGAACTTGCAATAGGAATACCTGTATTTTGTTGAAATAATAAAAATGATAAAATAAGTTGACAAATACAAATCATCGAAATTTTCGATAATGTATCGGCATTACACTTGTGAGCGTGGTTACCATTTCATATCCGTGAAAACAAAAACGAAAAATGTCAAATTTAATTTTTGTAAATAGCCAAAAAGGCAAAAAGCTACTTTCATACGACGGATATTTGCATAGCTTACACCGATCGACTGAAAATAAATGTATTTGGCGCTGTGTTGAATTTATAAAATACAAATGTAAAGGACGCTGTCATACAACTAATGACGAAGAATCAGGTACGTCAAAACAGATTAATACTTTTGGTATCAAAAATGCATTTGGTTTTTTCAGTCAATTAAATTTTTTTTTTACTTGTTTTTAGGAGAAATTATAAAAATACCCACACATAGTCACCCTCCAAATGCTGATAAAGTTAATGTTAAAGAAGCAATTGATAAGTTAAAAAAGGAAGGTAAAACGTCATGCGAACCTACAAGAAATGTTGTCAGTAAAATAGTTTCAGATGTATCTAAAATAACTACAAGTAAATTACCACCAATTGATATGTTATCTCAGACTGTACGTAGAACAAGAAATAAATATAATGATTACCCTACAAATCCAATCAACATAACTGATTTAATATTACCAGACCAATATAAGGTAACCAAAACGGGGGTTCCATTTTTGTTACACGATATTAACAAAGAAGGAAAACGTAGTTTAATATTTACTACAGAAAACAATTTAGATTTTTTAAGTGAATCAGATGTTTGGATGGCTGATGGAACTTTTAAATCTGTTCCACCCTTGTTTTCTCAACTTTATACAATTCACGCTTGTAAAAAAAATGCTACATATCCTTTAGTTTATATTTTAATGACTGACCGAACAAAAGAAACGTATTCAGAAATTTTTAAATTTTTAAAAACTAAGAAACCAAATCTGAAGCCATCTATGTTAATGGTTGACTTTGAAAATGCTTTTATATCAACTTTTAGAGAAGAATTTCCAACGGTGGTTATTAGAGGTTGCTTTTTTCATTTTACTCAGTGTGTTTGGAGGAAAATACAAAATAGTGACCTACAGATAAAATATGGTCAAGATTCTGAATTTGCATTACAAGTTCGACTTCTTTGTTCATTGTCATTTATACCACCAAATAAAGTAATCGAAGCCTTTGATGAGCTTATTGAATCAGAATATTATATACAAAATGAAGAACTATTAGAATCTATAATAATGTATTTTGAAGACACGTGGATTGGACGTTTAGGGCGAAGAGAACGAAGAGGAGCACATTTTAATATTGATTTGTGGAATTGTTATCAATCAGTTATTGACAATAAGCTTCGCACAAACAATGCCGTTGAGGGGTGGCACCATGCCTTTAATGGATCTCTAGGAGCTCATCATGCATCGATATGGAAAATTATCAAGTGTCTCCAATTAGAGCAAGGTAAATAAAATATACAATTATTATTATTTTTTTTTTTTACTTAAGTAATATTATTACAATTATGTTACAATTATATTACAATTATGTAAGCCTTCAAGAAGCAAAAATTGAAAAATACATGTCTGGTGATCTACTGGTAAAAAAAAGAAAATTTACGAGAAATTGGATAAACAATTAAAAGAAGTGGTTCTTAATTATGAACATGTTACTGTACTTAACTATTTAAAAGGCATTGCGTGTAATTTTTCATTTTAAAAAATCTTTTATATGTATATTTTATTTCAAAAATAACCATACCTACGGACTTAAATTGTATGTTGACCTTTGTAAAATAATGACGTTATAATAATATTATATCAATTATTACCGAAGTACGAGTTATTAGTAATTTAATACGAACCCCTCTTTGGCCCATGTAATAAAATAATATATTATGAGATATTTTGAATATAGGATATTTGTAACGGGGATATTTTCAACGTAGGATATTTTTAACGGGGATATTTTTAACGTAGGATATTTTTAACGGGGATATTTTGAACGAGGGATATTTTGAACGAGGGATATTTTGATGCATGGGATATTTTGAGGGGGAACCACACTGCAGTGTGTATGTTACTGTGTAAATGAACCGATTGGGATCATTGTCAATCAATTTTTCGATAAAAACCTAAACATAAAATAAATACAATCCTAAATAGAGTAATAATATATTACCTATATTATAATAATTATTATAAAAAGTAAATACCTATTATATTATAGGGTACTAATAGTATAGAGTATAGAACGGCCTGTTCAGATCTAATAGCAATGGTATAGCACTATGGCGTCTACCCGTTAAGAGGACGGAACACCCGAACGTGTTGTCTCCGTCTTACAAGTGCATAACATACCAAATTGTACGCTCAGCAGAACACGTGTAGCTCCGTTAAGTTTAAAAATTCGAGTGAATTGACCTATTATCAAATTTAGAAGTAAGAATATTATCTAGCGAACCTCGTTGGGTATTTTATTTTATTTTAATTTTAAAACAAGTTATGAGTATATTAAAATTGTAAATTGTTTGTGCATTTTAACATACACATATCTTGTTTTAAAATTAAAACAAAATAAAATACCCAACGAGGTTTGCTAGATAATATTCTTACTTCTAAATTTGATTATAGATCAATTCACTCTAATTTTTAAACCAACGGAGCTACACGTGTTCTGCTGGGAATACAATTTGCTATGTTACGCACTTGTAAGACGGAGACAACACATGCCGGTGTGGAGTCCACTTACGTACAAATTGTCTATTAAATTCATTTTTAATGGTATGAAAGTTATATATACCTATAATCTATGTATCATATATATATATATTATAGTCGTCGATTATAAATCGCTTAGATTTCTGTTAACGCGTACCGATTTGTCTTATAAATACATATTAATAGAATATTATAGTAAATACATGTAGTTCAACCACTAACCGAAGCTATAACAATATTATGGTACCTACCTGACACCTATAATGCACCTATATTATACGTCGTATAACATTTTATGATGTTGGACTATAATAGGCATTAGGCGTTGCTTAGGTGCAGCGGGTCGGCAATCCTCAGATTTATATAGGTACGTCGCACATAGTATTGAAATAATAAATTATTCAAAAAATTGACGAATTTTACGGCTTGGAATCCGTACCGAAAGATATACTCTTTAGACAATGTTGTTATTTGTCGTAACCGAATACTTACCTCACGGCAAGTGTTAATTATATTAATTGATATTTGATCTGCAACGCCGATAGTCGTTACAAGTTTATGATAACCGCACACCGCTCCGCACGAGGCGTAATAATATGATCAATGTATACGACCTCAATACAATAAAATCTCGTGAACTATTTGCATTAAATAAGAATATGGTATATAAGTTAAAATATAATATTGGTTATTATAATACATAGGTATAGTCGCATAATAATTTGCTTATTTAATTTAAAATACCATCATCTGCAGTGGTACGAATTTTAATTCCTTGTTTAACGCTGTTCAATAGTTTGTACCTGCACCCACCACCGCCGATCTTGTTTTGAATTTCATAATTTATGTAGCTTTTGTGTCGATAATTGTAGATGATACATTATTGTTATAATATTCATTCGAACGATTATATTAAGTATTCTATATCAAGCCAATTTTAATTTTTCACAGATTGTAGGTACTGCAATAATTATTCGAATGCTATTCTCTGAGGTAATTGATAGTAGTTGAGTAATTTAATTTCAACAAACAAATAGTTACAATTGTCATGTATAACTATATAAGCGTGTTTAGCGAATTACTCACGAATTGGATGTCGTTAAAAAAAATTGAGCGTTTAAACCGGTTGCGACTGCACCTGCAGTTTCGGTGTGTTCTGAAGTTGTCGACGAGTCGAGTGCGTCATGCAAATTGTGTAATGAAGTTTATGATGTTGTACAGCAATCGTTAATTATTAATTAAAAATGTTACGCTAGATAAATAGTGTTATAATAATAATAATAATAATAATAATAACGAAAACAATATATAATAATATACCTATTGTACTTAAACGCGAAGTATACATATATAAACTGCAAAACATTTTAAGGTTCGAGAGGATGAGCTATAGTTAGATACGCTTCTTTTTTTATTTTATCTTCAATAGAAAATAAATTATAACGCACAATGGACGTTTTAATTGCTACGGGCATGGACCCAAAAAAGTTTAAACTATATATTTATATATTATATATATCAAACAAATTCTTATTTTTAACTCATATCTGCGCAAAAATTCTCCCCCCGAGTGCAAAATCTAATAAATTTAAGTCATAATACAATTAATTATTAAATAATCATGTTATATTTATTATAAATCCCTATACTATGCATTTTGGCATATTCTTAGAGATTAGGTACCCCAAAATTATTGTATATTATACCTCACCTATAGGCTATAATCTATACAAAGCGCATGTATCCGAAAATTATATTGGCATTTTGACACGAAACATTGTATCGATAATGTTATAATATTATTAAAAAAATGTCACGACAATAATAATATATAAAACTCACATTGCATATGAAAGAAACTGCATACAGAACATATTTATCGTCTATTGTCATTTGTCATTACAGTAAATAATATCATTATAACACGTATCAGTATTCTCTTGACTTAAAATTAACAAACACATTTTCTATTAATGCTTAAATAAAGCTGAAATTTATCGAATCGGATGATAGACACAAAAAATAAAAATTGAACAATTTAAAATAACCATTTTAAACGGTAAAAAATGTATGGTAAAGACTAAAGGTATGTGCAATAATGTTTATGTAGGACTGTAAAGATATTGCACAGTTGTACACTATTGTTTATTCGTTTTGAAATCTGATTTTACAATTTCTGTTGGTTTCAAATTCAGAATAAATGAATCACGTGAAAGTCTGAGGGGGTTTGAGCACTTTAGACTTTTAGAGAGTGTATACTGTATATAGACATATAGTTAGTCACCAAGTCTCGTATCACTCGAAGTATCTCTATATGAAACTGTGATACACTGATACATCAATAGAATACCTATTTAAATGCTGTTTTTTCAACAGTCAAGTATAAGAAAATTTCAAATGCATACATTTCTTATAGATAAATGTTAAGGAAATCGCATTTAGATATATTGATTTGACATGGAGATAATTAGGGTGATACTTTTGGCCTTTGGGACGCGCTGTATAAGAAATTATAATTATTAGGTATTTAATAATTAATAATTATTATTATACTATACATTAAAAACACAATAAATAATGAACACAAAATAAAGAGACGTGAAAAATTACGTTTAACGAGTTTCACGTTTAGTATAATATTTATTACTTGCAGGTATAGGTATACATATTACATATATATAATTAGTAATGCAAATTTATAGTAATTATGGATCTAAGAAATATCATTAATTTATTAATCAACACGTATATATAAATCGAAGTATATTGTATAGAAAAATAAGAAAGACGGAGAAAAGAATTGGAGAAATTTTAGATTACTGCAGTTTAACCAATGGGTATTTGCTATGTATATATTCAGGTATTATATATAATAGTATTCACGTTCTTTCCAGCGTACGTCGAAATGACTAAACATAAAATTATAAATAATATGATTATGATACACGGTGGAAACACAATTAAAGTGAGTGCCGTAATGTAGAAAACATTATTATTGACCCCTTTGCTCCTTGATAGACTTAGTTTCTTTTGATGAATGCGATTCAATCGAGTTTAATCAATATAGTCAGTATACTTTTATATCCTTGGACCACGTGTCAGCGCCATAGGTACCTACACAACAGTTCCAGCAGTAGCATCAGCGATACCAATGAAAACATACTTGAGAAACCCTAGGGGTCGATGTAGAAAAAATTTAGAAATGACTAAAAAAAAAGTACAAAAAAATTCTCATGACAATTAAAAAATAAATTAATATTACATGCATACACTACAACTACGAAATATGTATAGTAAAAATAAAGAGTAAGGTTAGGTACTATTAAGTTGTATCTGAAAAATAATTGTTTTACTTGAATGTTAGTTTGTTTAACATGTGCATATAATTTAACTAAAAAAACGCAATACTTAACTATTTATGGAGTTGCTGAATTTGTATTATACTGCAACAGCATTCGGCAGTTAAACATTGTATACAAGTATTTCACGAATTCACGATATCTACCTATTATAATTTATAGATACTATACGCGTGCAAACATTGAAACATGTAGTTATCAAAAATGCTATATAAAAATATCAGATACGATATTTGCAATTATCTGCATTACATCGATCAGGGGCTAACACAGAAACATATTTTGATGGGAAAGAGGGTTGTAACCCTAACTCCTAGGACCTGTAAAGTGTATAATACATATGTTTGGCTACGATTATATATACATACAGTTCAGTAATAATATCTCCTTCATCATTATTTGACATTTTAATTTTTAATCAAACTTTTTTTTTGTTTTTGCAATTTTACGCCAGACGGTATGGTCTTAAGAGGGTAGGTATATGTATATAAATCCCCCTCTTCTACTAAAAAACGAATTATTTTCCCAGTATCACCTTCCGATATACTATCGATAGTTTTAATATAATAAATTGATAATAACAAATAAGACATATATTTGTGTGCGCAATAAAATGTGTGTGTTGTATTTATATAACAAG